AGAAAGTAATATATAGGTAGATCAATTTAAAAAAAAATATGAAAATAGTAGCTATATTATATTATACCATTATTGCGGATAATGTTTGCCTTGGACTGACTACTGAATATATATGATATGATAAAATAAAAAAACAGTAGTAGCAATGAAATATGTATTTCTACTTTTAATATTAATGTGAATTCTAGGGAGATATAGTCTGTATTGGGAAAGTGTGTTCCACAAAGAATTTTTTTATTTAAACAGAAAAATAGGAATTTATTGCTTTCGAACATTGTGCCTAATCGAGAAGCTACACAGAGTGTTTCACATTGCAATGGTATTTTGTTCATTTACGTTTATATAAGACGGCGTATGATATGTATGTAATTAGATACTTCTTTTTATGAATCATATGTTAATAGTATCAAATTATTTAATTATTGTCTTTGTATAAATGTTTTTATTTATTTCTCGTAAATAGAAATATTTATATATAAATTTCATTTATATTGTATGTATCGATCCAAAGTTATTAATTGAAAGAAAAAGTTTAATTAACGAGACTGCTGCGTTTGTATATTCTACTTTTAGAAGTAAACATAATATATATATGTAACGCAGGAATGTCATAAAACGGGAAAGTAAGAAGTTTCAAACTCAATACGTAATTTTAAATATGACAAGTATACTTCACTGTAATGATATATTTCGGTTTACTTTGAAATTGAAAGTTATGTGTTTATTTCTAAGTATCAATTAAGAATTGAGGTACGTTTTTTTCTTTTTTTTTTATGATGTCGAATTTTCAATAATACGAATGGACTGAAAAGTAATTATCTACAAGTATTTATAAAACAAAATTGTGAAATCATCTCTAATATTGAAAACAAGATGTATCATGCTAAACTAGCTTTGTGTTAGGAAAATTATGAATCCTTCTTTATACCCAAGGAAACATCATAGTTACCTAGGAAATGCACCGCCTATTTTTTGTCTAAACTCGTTTATATATACATTTATTTTGTAACACTTCGTGCTAAGTAGTATTTGGAGATGTGATATTATTATTATGGACAATTATATTGTAATGTATGTATTACTTATTTTAAATCCCAAAACGGGTATAATTTCATTTTTATTTGCAGATAATATCCTTGTCCTAAAATCTGTGAATATCGTGATTTTTAAATAATATGAAATAACATTGTGATTAAGATGTTATTTTTATATTAAAAAATCTTTATGTACTACGTTGTACATATATTTAAATGCAGCTTCTATAAAATGTATATCGTTTACTTTTAATTTAACGCATTGGAAAATTTATTAAACTTAAAAATATACATATTAATATTATTTAAAAATCCTGGTATACATTGACTTAATGTATAAAAATAAGAAATTAAGGAAAATAAGCATTATAAAATAGTCATAACATATTGTTGGTTGCATAAGTTGTTATATATGTTACTTTAAATACTGAATCAAATGTTTAGAAACAAAATGCAAGAGCAAATTGTCTGCTGCATGTGCTCTATAAACAGCGCATCGATTATTGCTTAAAACTATTTGCTTAGGACATAGTATAATTTAAAGAAGAAAACGATTGTACTTATAGCCATGTACAATTGTTAAATCTTCATTACATTTCATGTCCAATAAATAATCTTTTACGACGATTTTTCAAGTACGTGTTCTTCGTGGGATGCTAACACAAGACAATAATATATTTAACAAAAACAATAATTAAAAGATATAAAAATATTACATATAATTAATAATGTATTTGAAATTATTTATATCAACTATGTTATTATTTCTTTGAATAGTAGATAAATTTAGTTATTTCAATCATGTTATTATGTGTTTATTATTCGAGGAAATTTTATTATTTCATTTTCATTGTTTTGATACTATGTCCTATGTACTATTTCTGGTATATTCTACTTTTACGTATTAAGCAATGCATCCTATATGAAATTTAAGCCCTACTGAAACGAAAAAAAAATTATACAAATACGTTTTGTACATGTAGGGCCATGCAGAAGGGCATATGAAAAGAAACTATGTTAACGAATACAATGTTCCTTACAAAATGCACGCAGGATAGAAAATTAGTATGTATGTGTCTATTGCATTATTATATGACATTGAAAGCGGTGGTGACTTTAAATGAATTAACTTATCGAACAAAACATTGATCAATCAATTGAAATTAATTTTTCTGCAATTTCTAGAGTTGTTGCGCTCAAATATATATTCAGTTATATGTTAATGCTTCATCACAAATAATAAGGAAAAGTTTTAATTTGTATTTTCGATGAATGTATTTATTCAAAGACGATTTACTTTTTGTAAATCGTGTTAGTGTTTTTTTTTCTTTTTTTTTTTATACTACACTCTGTGTAATATCAATTTTATAAATTTAAATATTGCTTTAAGTATATACATCATGTACAGTAAAATCTACCTGTTAAGTGTATTATTTTTTTATGTGTAAATAACTCGCATGAGAAGAGAGATTTGTGTTGTAAAAAGTGAATAATGTCTAAAATGATCTAAAAACTATCTTCGTAGAAGATTCTGTTTTTCTTTTCATGGAACTATATTAATACTATTTCTTCTTTCATTTATTCTCCTAAGATTATCTTTACGTTTTTATGTTATGATCTAAACTAAAAATAATAGTAATAGTAATTTTCATCCTTTTTCACTATTTTGAACCTCATAAATATTGACATGTATTCCTAGAAACAATTAAGTTTGTTATGCATAAAAAAAAAGTGTTACATAGTTATTACTTATAGTTCAGTCTGAATAAGAGGGACCACAGTACCACATGTTAGAATGAATTTATAATTTATATGTTTTAAGGTGTTTTAGAAGATTAGATACATTTGAAAGCTCATTTAATTTTAAACATTTATAATTTTCTTTCCAACCAAATCGGATATCTGATACATTCTAACTTTATTGTAAAATTAGAATTTAATTTTATTATTTACATACATACCTCAAATGTACCGTATAACGAACTAGTAATCTTCTAACACACCTTAAAACAATCATGTTTTATTTCTGTAGAACTCCCAGCTTTTCACTTCTATATCAGGATCTAACAAAATATGTAAAAAAAATATTAAATGTTGCTTCAGTATTTAAATGCACACGTCGTCTTAATTTATGCTTTTAATGTAACTAAATGTACAACAAGAAATTTTGTTATAGCTTTATGTAATATATTAAAATATGAAATTAATTTTATTCTTATATCATGATTTTAATGTGAAACACTTTTTCATCAATTTCAGAGGTAGCCAACTCATGTTAATATGTGCATTAATATAAGATATGTACAATTTGTATCTTTACAAAATTGTATTATGTTTTTGTTACCCATCAGTATTGAATAGATTTATGTATGTGTGTAATAGATACATGTGTATTGAAATCATGCACGAATTTTAAAAGCTGATTGAAAGGATGCAATCAATCGTGAGCAGTACTCATAAAAAACTATGTGCAAGCTCATCACAGATGGGCAATGCGAAATCATCAATTTAGAAAAAATGATAAATATGTTCTTTTTTGTCCATAAACCGGATGTATTGAAGGAACATTATTTATACTTTATACTTTTTTCGAGAAAGAAAATGGTGGAACATCGTCAAATAGAAACAAGAGCAAGTAAATCTGGTAATGTTTGTACTTATTATGAAAAATGAATAATAATTACTCTTGCTACAGAAAACGCTGCAGAATGCGATTACAGTTTTAATAATTTGTTATCAACGAGTCACCTCTTTATGCTATTGAAATTTAATATTTCACAAATTACAAAATTGTTCACGTATCAAACATTTCTTACTAGTTTTTAAGTTAATAAAAGTAATGCAGCATAATGTTGTATTTTTCAAGTATGTATTATTGTTATTTTGACCTATAACATTCCCATCCTATTTTAATTTTGTACAAATATAAATAATTATGTTCCAAGGGCATACAATATTCATAATGTATAAAATTAATGTTTATTTGATTTTAATTATTTGTATAATAATTGTAACAAAAATACATCATTGACTGTATATCATACATTACTGCAGTATAATTCATTGTAGTTTTTTGATATTGTAACTCATGATTTGAATTTATTTCTTTTTGTTCGATTATATATTATACTGGTGATTCATTGTAACTCAAGAGCAAGAAAAATAATAATGAATTGTCCCCTGTAATAATTAATTCTAGTTCAATTTATAGTTAAAATTGTAATCTTTTCGCAAGGGAAGCACCATCCATCGATTCCAATAGTTTCCTTTTTAAACTGGGCTTCTCTTCTGGTTGACGTTTTACAGATGTAGGAAGAGGTAATCTTGCACCAGAAGTTGGTGCAGGCTTGTTACTAAAATATGGCATTTGAAGAGCTTGGTCGCATGTACATCTCTCCAAAGGGTTCACATTTAACAGACTAGCAATTAAATCTAGGAGATCATCACTAGCAGCAGTAAATATATGTTTCAACGGCGTACCAGGGAAAGGTTTGAACTGAATGAAATCTGGTAATTCAGTCATTCCAGGCCAAGTTTCTTCAGTGGGTGTACCTAATGTCTGAAAATTGCACATTATGCATAAGAATTTAATTTCTCTCGAGTTACAATAAAAACAATACCTGAAATATTCTAGTAAGTTGATCCAAATCAGACTCCCCAGGTAAAAATGGTACACGTAATAACAATTCTGCTAATATACAACCGACTGCCCACATGTCAATTCCAGTTCCGTACAATCTTGCACCATATAACAATTCAGGTGCTCTATACCATCTTGTTACTACTTGATGAGTATTTATTCGATTTGGCGAGCCAAAAAACTTGGCCAAACCAAAGTCACCAATTTTCAAAACACCTTCTGAGTTAACTAACAAATTATTTGGTTTTAAGTCTCTATGGAGTATCCAATTATAATGCAAATAGTCCAATCCTTGTAAAGTTTGAATCATATAAGCTTTAATGTTTGCAGCTGTTAACACTATATTATTATCCTTTATTATTATTTCCAAATCTGTATCCATAAAGTCAAACACCAAAGAGACATTTGACTTGTGACCAAATACATCTGTAACATCAATGACACAATGAATGAATGTCAATTGATACATAGTATATTGCATATATAGTATAGCAGCATAGCAAATACCTAATAAACCTATCACATTGTCGTGTTTTAATTCTTGCAACAATTTAATTTCTCGTAACGCGGTTCTGTTTATCCCATCCTTGGCTTCTGCGCGACTTCCAACTTTAATCTGAAATTATCATAAATTTCTCATGAAATTTAACACTTCATTAACTTGTAAAATTATTGTTAAATAACGAACCTTTTTCACAGCAACAATTTTGGACGTTTCGATATCTTTGGCTTTATAGACAGTAGCGAACTAAAATTTACAAATATGTTTATGATATAAAAACGGTTAAAATTGTTTAACATATGACTAACCTGTCCTTCTCCTAAGAAATCAATCTTCTCATATCTTCGCAATTTTTCGGTCATGTTTTTTCGATATAACAATACTTTTATTCCTTCAAAAATCTATTACTCGTTTAAAAATATTTTACATAATAAAAGTATTTTATCATTCATGTAGACTTCGTTTAACGTCTGTCAAAGCGAAGTGCAAACGGCAACATAGACAAAACAGAGAATAGTCCAACTGTCTAATATAAAATTCATAGTCTGATAGCTCGAACAAAAATTAAATTTTTCCATGAAATTAGAAATAATTTATAAAACAGGATATCTTCTAATCTCAGAAACAAAGTTGTACAGAATTATATACCGCTATATTCCTTTATTTATATTCCGATAGAATTAAGTTGATACAATATACTTAATGATACAACTTCCGTGAACAACCGTTCATTTTTAAACCTATTAATTGATTAAATATAATCTTCTTCCTTTCTTTATACTTGTTAAATAATAATCTTTTATATGCAAGAAGTTTATTATCTAAAGTTTCGAGTACACTGTTCATTGCTACAAAAATATTTCCATTTGTAATATTTAGACGTATAATTTATTATATTTTATTATATAATTTATTATTATTCTGATGTTTATTTATACATCACGTATAATTTCTTTCAAAATTTAGAACATACAATCATTTTTTGGATTCATAATTATCATGTGTAAAATTAACTTATCTGCAAAAAATGCTACAATACAAATATTATACATTTTTATGTCTGTATTTCCAAACGTAAATGATGCAAAATATACGATAAGAGAAAGTAAAGGATTCAATTAGAAAGACGCAATCGCGAAAGCTCATAAATTAATCGCTTTAATTAATTTTTTTCACAATTGAAAATTTAATCGATTTATGAACTTTGAAATACTAGCGGCGAAACGTAGAACTAAATGTTATCGTTGTCCTTATCGCACAGTATCGTTCTCCTTGTCTTCCATGGGATATATATCTCTCCTTGTTGCATACTATTGCTCTCTTTGTCTACGCTGATGGTACCACCTATAGAAGTGTTGGTGAAGTAGAGATTAAGAATGTAAGTACGATGATCGATAAATTATAAATTCACCGTACTACAAATAACTATACACT